TAGTAACATTAACACCATGTAATATTGTTTTGTCGATATTTATGATAATATTTTTAAATTACAATTATAATTTATTTTAATAATTATAGAAAAAATATAATTTTTAAAAAAGTGGGCTAGCCCGGCAAGCCTATAGCCCACGTACTTGTGGGCTGGGCCGACCATTTTCTGGCCCACACCAAAAATGGGCTAGCCCGGCCTGACCTGTAAAATGTCAAAGCCTGTATGGGTTAGCCCGGATGGGGTGGGCTAGCCCATATTGACAGCTCTAGTCAAGGGCATTAAGTGCATCACACTCAGATCACAGATTTGCTGGATTTGGCATGCCAAAATGGAGTCCAGACATAAACCATCTTGTTTATGCTGATGACACTATTATATTTGTCTTTGCTAATGAAGAATCACTAATATTGATCATGGATACTCTCTCAACATATGAAATAGCAAGTGTTCAGAAAATGAGCAAAGGCAAGATTGCAATCTTTCTTGATCACAATGCGAGTCAAGAAGTAAAAGCTAAAGTGTCAGAGATTACCAGAATTCCTACAAAAGATTTCCCCTTCACATATTTGGAAGTACCAATTTACTATGCAAAGAGATTAATAGCACACTATAAAGAGATCACAGACAAGGTTTTTAATATACTCAACTAATGAACAGGGAAGCTACTTTCTATTGGTGGGAGGGTAACACTCGTTAAACTTGTGCTACAGAGTATGCCTATACACTTACTGTTTTCCCTAACTTGAGGATCAGATCATGCAAGAGATGAAAAGCTGGAGTGAAAGATGGAAGGAGGCCACTGTTTATCATGAACAAATTTCATATTGGGAGGAGAACATGAGAAACAAACTTTTAACTAATCTGGTTTCTTTGGTTGCAGGTAGACCTTCAAGGAAGACAAAGAACAACAGCACAAACACGGACACATACAAAACAGTACAGAAACAAAATTGGTGTAATGCTTCCTGGATTGGCTCAGTACAATAAACCTCTAAATTGGACTGGCTCAGCAGAGAGGAAACATACTCAGCTATAGGAACTCAAGAGCCAAAATGCAGACACCAATACAACAACAGACAGTACACAATAACAAGCAAAGAGAAAAGGTATGAAGCATCTACAAGAACCAAATGGGCTAGGCAACATGTAGAACAAATCACAGACCTAATCTTGATTTAACTATTAGGGTTGGTATTTGCACCTTCGGGTGCTCATTCTATTGTTCAAAGATCAAATCTTTTTCAGTGCAAAATTAAAAGAAAGGGCAACATCAATCACAGTTTCAGACCGGAAAACAAAAAAGAAGTTAGAAGCTCACTTACCGAGCGTCGCAAAGAGCACAACATCGGGGACGAAGCATAGACAAACCTGCATGGAGGAATCAATCAACAATCGCAAAGAGCACAACATCTCTGTATACTCCATACAACTAGTTTTCTTGAATGGAATATAACAAAGGCTGTAGCTCTGACAAGCAGTCGTTGTAGTATAGTGGTAAGTATTCCCGCCTGTCACTGCAGTGTATATCTTTTTGTTTTTTAAAAGCTTTGTTCATTGTGGATTTAAACTTGTGAATTTATGAGGGAGTACACATTAGAAAAGCCAGTTTCAGATGGACAAATTAAGCAGCATTCATGTTTCCAGATAAATCTCAAAGAACTGAAAGAGCTCTGCTCCCTACTATGTCCTTACATGAAAATAAAATGTGCACAATTAAAGTTAAATAATACAGGCATAATTATCCTAACAAGATCATTTTTGCCGATGAAGAGCGAAATCTGCCAAAGCAAGTAATGGAGCTGACTTTTTTGGATCAAAACCAACAAGTTGCTCCTTGGCCTCCTTGTTAAGTTTTTGAGCATATTCTTTGGACTTGTCAATGCCAATCATCTTTGGGTACGTCAATTTGTTAGCCAACAAATCCTTCCCCGCTGTCTTTCCTAATTGCTCAGAGGATTTAGTGACATCAAGAATATCATCCACAACCTGATACATCAGTCCAAAACACTGCGAGAATTTCCTAAGTCTATTAATCTCCTCCTCAGACGCACCACCAACCAATGCTCCTACAATGGCTGCGGCCTCTGCAAAGTCTGCAGTCTTGTGACGATGAATATACTCAAGCTCTTCTAATCCAGTATCAGAGTTACCTCCACACAGCAAGTCAAGCACCTGGCCAGCCACTACCCCCTCTGGACCTATCAATCTTGCTAGTTCTCCAACAGCACGAACCATTGTTTTCGGGTGTACCCCTTTAGTGGCTGTTGTCATATGCTGAAATGCAAAGGCAACAAGGGAATAACCAGCTAAAACAGTGACATTTTCGCCATAAACCTTGTGATTTGACAGTTTTCCTCGACGGAAATCATCATTGTCCATGCAGGGAAGGTCGTCGTGCATCAACCACATAGCATGCATCATCTCCATTCCACAAGCAGCAGGCATTGCTGTTGATTCTTGGCCACCAACAAGCTCACAGGCGGCTATACAGAGTACAGGACAAACCCGCTTGCCTTCGGAAAGGAGTGAGTATCTCATTGCTTCATGGAACTTGATAGGCTCTCTGATTGGAACAGCAGCATCTAAGGCTTGATTGACAGATTTGTTCTTTTGAACCATGTAACTTTTGAAATCAAAGACACTTCTTGTTTTTCCAGCTTCTCTGTATATGTCTTCATGTTTGATAACTTCAGCTTCATTCTTGGAAAAATCTGTGCTATTACAGAAGGCTCTTACTTTTGGCCGGAATATAACCTCTGCTGTTTCCTCTGAAGAAAAAAGCAACTTTGTTCCTGCAGATCTGGATCTATTTGGAGTACCTCTTGTACTCAGTTTTGCAAGATTGTAGATTACTCTTTTTAGCATAGACATGACTCTTTAAAGTGTGGATTACTCCCTGATTTGGTGATTTACTATTTAACTAACTGAGGAACAAGTATTCAAGCCAAAGCAGCAGGGTAGAAGCTATCTCATAATAAAGTCAAACATCTCTGGACCAACTCTTTTTTGTATTACTAAAAAAATAGGGTTGGGCTGAGTTCCAAATATACAGACTGGGACCCTCAAGCCCAAAAATATATGGCAACTTGCTATGCTCTTTGGTATTTCCTTCAGACCTTTAGAGGATGAGTGGAAGATGTAATCCACATAATGGTCTAACTGGCAGGACTTTTAAGAGAAATTGATTTCCAAAGTGTAAGCCACTAAAGAAAATTATCAACATTTAACTGGCAGATCCAGTTGAGAAGTAACTCAAAATTATTTGGGACATCCAATAATTTATAGAAGTCCAAGTTTGAATGAAAACTATACTAATTATATATGACAAAAATGCAGAAATGTTTGAATGAAGAATCTTTACTGAAGAGTAGAGAAAAGAGAAGTGGGAGGACCAATTAGGATACCTGTTTGGACTCAAAAAATGGGCATGTCTCAGGTCATAGAAGTGCTGCAACAGCCAAAGGAAAGAAATGAAAGACATAGTAGAATAAGCTGCATATAAGACCTTATATCAAAGCAAGAAATAGACTTGACAACAAATGGGCAAATACATCCACAGAGTGATGTGAATAAGGATTTATATCTCAGATATCAATTGAAAAATCATGACAGTCTTAAGGTGGAGAAGAAAAGAAATGTGTATTGGCCATTATTTCATTCAAGATGTTAGAAGTTTGAATCTTTAAATGTACACATTCATGTCCTTGCCTTGTACTAACTTCTTAAACTTTAAATATACAAATTGGTTGACCAAAAATTCATATATTCATTGTTTAATACTATCAGGAATCACTGAGAATCCTGTTGTTACAATTTAATTCTCTCTGTAAGCAATATAATCTGCAAGAGCAAACAATGGAGCTGCTTTCTCTTGATCAAATCCAACAAGCTGAGCTTTTGCTTCTTTGTTTAACTCCTCAGCAAACTCCCTAGACTTCTCAATACCTATCAGTTTGGGATAAGTTACCTTATCAGCAACCAAGTCCTTCCCAGCTGTTTTCCCCAATTGCTGAGAAGACTTTGTGACATCAAGAATATCATCCACAACTTGAAATAGCAACCCAATACATCTTGCAAACTTCCTCAGCTTCTCCACATCTTCATCTGGTGCCCCTCCTAATATAGCCCCTAGCACCACTGACCCTTCTAACAAAGCTGCAGTCTTGTGCAGATGAATGAACTCTAAATGCTTCAAATCAACATCAGAAATGCCTTCTGAAATTATATCTACAACCTGACCAGCTACAAGTCCCTCTGACCCAATACACTTGGCCAACTCACCAATCACCCTCACAATTCTATCAGAAGAAACCCCTTTTGTTTGAGCAATGTGCTCAAAGGCTAATGCAAGAAGTGCATCCCCTGCTAAAACAGCCACATCCTCACCATAAATCTTGTGATTTGTTGGTTTCCCTCTTCTAAGATCATCATTATCCATACAAGGAAGGTCATCATGAATCAAAGACATGGTATGAATCATC